ACAACCACGCCTGGTTGTTGTTGTTGTTGTCGTATTTTTTCGCAAAAGTTTACCCCATTTTTCAAAATAAAAGAGAAAGTTTGTTTGTTTGTTTAACATTTGTTAAATAAGTCAAACCGCTCATGAAATCAAATTAATATTATTATTGACTTTTATATATACGATTTTAATAAATTGAAAATTTTTCAAATTTTTTTTTCTTTTCTAAAGACACGACAATTTTGGTATTAAGTCATTGAAAGCTGTTTTTTGTTTTGTTTTGCTAAAGGCACGTTATTTAAATGTTAAATTTAAAAAAAATCAACGGGAGACAAATTGTTTTTCATTTTTTTTATTACCGTTCAACCTTAAACAAAATTTATTTATTTATTAACATTATCACTATTAATCATAAAAGGTGGAGGAGTGGGAGGGGAGAGTGCGAGGAAGGGGTGGGTGGAGGGTGGGGGAAAATAATACAACGAATAAGAAAGTTAATTAATTGAACCATAAGTTTTTGGAAACTACTGAAAATACGTTTGAATTGAAACAAACACACACGAAATGATGTCCTTTCGTGAGAGAGAGAGATAGATAGAGTTAGAAAGAGACAGAGAGAGAGAGATAGAGAGACCCCAAAAGCTTCATAAATTTCAAAGTCGTAAATCATTCTCTATTCGACAAAAATTCGACAAAAAAAAAAAATTTTTTTTTTCCATCTTTTTTTTTTTTTTTTTTTTAGTGATGATGGTTTACAAGAATTTGGTTATACCTGATTTTTGTACGCAAACGCACGTACACACGCACACATACACGCACGGACACGCACAAACACGTATAATATTTTTTCTAAAATGTCATTTTAAAGTTTCTCACACTTAAATGAACATTAAAAAAAAACAAAAATGTTATCATTTCGTTAAAGTTTTAATTAATAAAAAATTTACGTAACAATTATTATCATTATCATTATCATTATTATTATTACGTAAATTGAAAATTTTAATGGCGGTCGCGATATATATCGATCGAACAAAATGTTTAATCGTGTAAATAATTTCATAAAAGATTCGGGTAATAATAAACGATTGACGAAGTCACAAAACGAAGACAAAAAAAGAAAATTCGTTACGTGGAAATAGAAAAAGAATAAACAAACAATAAACAAGATGGTGGATGAGAAGGGAAGAGAGAGAGAGGGGGGATGAGAAAAAGAGAAAAAAAAAGTAGCACTTGAAAATAATAATCACCAATATCATTATAAAAACCTTTTTTTTTTTCGGGGGTTGATATTTGCGACAGGGGTGAAAATCGTAAGAGCAGAGGGGGTGGCGGTTAAGGGAAGACGAAAGGGGATGATGAAACCGATGATGAGAGAGAGAGAGAAAGAGAGATAGAAAAACTTTTAAAAAACTGTCAAAAATATTTTTACGGACATTCTAAGGAATTGAATTTATGTTTTTTTTTTTTTTTTTTTTTTTACCTATTGTCGGTTGCTGTCTTCTTTTTTCTTCTTCTTCTCCGGTGTCCCCTGTCCTCTCCAAAAAAAAAAAAAAAATTTCTTTTGTCCATCGGGGGGCAGGGGAGGGAAGGGGGGAGGGTTTTTTCCGATGCGCACGAGATTATGACTTTTTACGTATACACGACGACGGTGGTGGTGGTGTTGTAAAATAAATTAACTTACCTTTTTTTTTTTTTTTTTTTAAATCAGGGTCGGTTTGGTTCTTCTTTCTGCTTCAACAACCTAAATAATAATAATAATAATTTGTTACCACCTTAATAATACCCCTTCTTCTCCACCCTCCCCCGAGGAAATTTAAAAAATTAAAAAACTTTCACTCACCGATGAATTATTATAATAATCATTTCGCAATATTGTTATTATTATTATTAATTTTACGATAAGTTAATTAATGGTAAAATTCATTTGTGTAAAAGAGGGGGATGGAGGGGTTGGAAAGGGTGCAGGATGGGGAGGAAGAAGAGAGAGTTTTCCGGGGGGGAAAAAAACAGGCCCAATCCATCACTTGTAAAATGTATGTGTTCGAACAATGAGGAGAGTTTTAAGGTTGAACGTAAAAGTCAATAATAAAAACTCACCCCCACCACACCCTTATAAGAGAGTCACCCTTGTTATAAATATTTCTATTATACTAGGATATAACGACGAGGATGACGATGAGGACGACGACGACGACGACGACGAGGGGGATGTGAAAAAAAAATATCGTTCCTCGAGTTGTTATTATTATTATTATTATTATTATTATTATTATTCTGCATTGTCTCCAATATGATATATGGAATTGTTGCAGATTAAATCTTAAACGGATTCTGGTTAAACACACCATCCATCCATCCATTCTTCATAATATTCTTCTGCTTTTTTTTTTTTTTTTTATACTTCATCGCTCTGTCCATATTTTCTTTTATTTTTTTTCCCTCATCCGAATAATAATAATAATAATAATAATAATTCTTTTTTCTTTCCTTCCTTCCTTCACATATATAAATATTTCTTAGAAAATTTTTATTTAATTGTTTCACGGTTTTTGTTGTTATTTACCACCTACCCTCCTCCTCCGGAAAAAAAGGAATCGACGCCATTTTTGTTTTTTCTTTTCATCCCTCTTGTCTCTTTTATTGTTTTCCTTATTCATAGTTTTTCGTTCGCTATTTTGTCTTCATCTTGTTGTTATCGTTATCAAAGTAACGTTACGATTATCACGTGGTGGTGGTGGTAAAATAAGTATTATTATTATTATTATTATTCGTAATGAGAAATAATAATAATAACGAGGTTATTGACTTAAACAAAAAAATTAAAATGGCGTATCAAAAACCGTTGAACGTAAACCGTTGCTGGGTTTAAACCGTGAGACAGCCTTTTTTTTTTCTCCAGATTAAATTTATATATCTCCAGATTGATTTCTCCAGACCGATGATGATAATGATGATGATGATGAGCAACAATAATAAAAAAATTCGAATTTATGAAAGCCCATGTTATTTTCTTGTTTAACATTTGTTAAAAACAAACTTTTTTTTTTTTTTTTCTTTTTATAAATAATTTAAACGCCATCATCATCATCATCATCATCATTATTATTATTATTATTATTATTCTTTTGAGAGTCGAACGCACGAGTTTATCTCAATATGCCAATCTATTTATTTATTTATTTATTTATTATCTTTTTATATAATTTTTTTATCAACAACATTTTGTCTTTTGAGATTCGAATCTTATTCATTTCTTCCCCCACCTCTTCCTCATCCCTCTTCCTTCTTCTTCCCTTTTTTTTTTTAATGAATTCTAAAGGTGCGCATTCTTTAAGAAGTTGTTTAACTATTTATTGTCTGTCTGTTCTCGGTCTCATAAGATTTCTTCAAGTTTCATTTTTTATGGTTTTTTTTTCCAACTCGATAAAAAATGTTTTTTTTTTTTTTTTTTTACTACACTTATTTATTATAAATAAAAAATTTAGTTTTTCAATATGGTGGCAAAAGCAAAAAACCTGATTTAAATAAAAATCATTATTTTGTAAATAATAATAATAATAATAATTTAAACAAAGAAAACGATTAAAAAATGTGTGCCCGCGCGGATATTTATAAATAAATCCGATAATAATAATAATAATAATAATAATAATTTTTATTAAGTGTGTTTTGAACTTGTTAAACAAACACACACCATAGAGTTTATATAAAATGAGAAAATAATTCATAGAGTAAATAAACCTTTTGTTTATTTTTCCTATCTTCTAACAATTATTTACCACCCGTTGATTTCTTTAAAAAAATTTTTTTCATACCACATAAATTTTTCGTTTCGGTGGTGTAATCATTAAAATTTTTTTTTTTTTTTTTTAATTATCAACTTATGGTAGGATACTTAATCAAAACAGAAAAAAATAGCAGAAGAAAAAAAGAAAGAGAGAGAGAGAGAGAGAAAAAGAATCACGAAAAATATTATTTCCGGTACGACGATTATCATTGTATGGAAATTATAAATAAAACGCGAAAATAAATAAATAAATAAATAATTGCTGTTGTTAAATATTTAAATAAAAAAAAAAATTTATAATGAAAATCACACCCCTATCGAAAGGGGTGGGAGTGGAAATGTAGGGGGAGGGGATGGAAAAAGAAATTAAATTCGTGTTCGTTAGAAGTAAAAGTTAAAAAAAAAGAAATTAAGGGTTGAATGACTTTTTATAACCTTTTTTTTTAATGCACGAATCCATCTGTTAAACGTTTGTTTGTTTGTTTGTTTGTTGTTTGTTTCCTCCGGGTAAAATTCAATAATAATAATAATAATTTAATAAATAGATGATTTTTTGTATACGCGCAGGTTTTTTAAGGTGTCGAGGAAGTAATTTGTAATTTTGGGATTTAGGAAAAAAAAAACTTGGTTGTTTGTTCAGTCGAAACAACAACCACTGAACAAAACAAACGACTATTACAGGTGGAAAATTTAAATGTTTGATTAATATGTTTCATCCCACGGGCGACATTTTTTTTTTTTATTTACATCGCACCTGAACTTTTAGAAAACCGAAAAAAAAAAAAATCGTGTTGAGAGATAGATTTTAAACACCTGTTTTTTTTTTTTTTTTAAATTGAATTTTTTTTCTTTTCTAATAATAATAATAATAATAATAATAATGATAATAATTTTTTCTACTTTTGTTTTAAAAAATTTTACAATAATTAATTAAATAAAATAAAAATTACGGTTTTTATAAATTTACTATATATAATTAACACCTCAACCTTGGAATTTGTTTTCTCTTATTCTTTTTTTTAATTATATATTTGGCACCTTAAGGCGTTCCGGATATGAAATATAACCGGAAATAAATAAACAATCATCTGCGTTTTTAATAAATTTAAAATAACGATTTCCTTGTGGTTATTTAAAATCATTATTATTAATATTTTGGGTATTGATTAACTATTGATATGGAATTTTTTTTTAACGATAATTTTTTTTTTTTTTTTTTTTTTTTAAATAGGAGAAAAACCGTTTAAATGTGAATTCGAAGGCTGTGATCGAAGATTTGCAAATTCTTCAGACAGGAAAAAACATTCTCACGTACACACATCCGACAAACCTTATAATTGTAGAGTTTCCGGTTGCGATAAATCATACACTCATCCTAGCTCGCTAAGAAAACACATGAAGGTAAAGGGATTCGTGTATTTAACGCCTGTAAAAATGTCGGTTAGTCTTTTTGTCGTACACTAACGTGTTGTAATTAACTGGATCGTTTTTTTTTTTTTTTTAAGGTTCACGGGTGTGGTAGCAATAGCACAAACGGAGGTAAATCTCCAAATCACGGGTACGATAGCGATGGAGAAGAATCCAATTCGTCATCGGAGAGATCTATTAGCGTATCGGCAATGTCTCCTCATCATAACACTCAAAGTGATCCCTTAGCAATGCCTGATCACAGGGTACGAAGGATTTTTTAAATGAAATATATATATAAATTTCAAATGTCGGCCATTTTAAATAAATTTTTCCTTTGTCTCGTAGCATATATCACAAAACAATCAAACGTCTATTAATCATAACACATCATTATCGGATTGGTACGTTTGTCAAAGTACCGGAATGGGTGGTATGCCAACACCTCCTAGCACAGATCATTCTCCGGTTAGCCACTTAGGTCATTTAGGTCACCTCATGCATCACGGTGCAGCTGCTGCTTACTGAGTTCAACCCCCCGCTCCTTCGAACAATCTTAATCTATTTCAAAAACATGGAAATTTCCCTTGGGATTAATAATAAATTAAAACAAGAAAAACCAAAGACGACGACATTTTCTGTTTAACGAGGAAGCGGGGGTCAATAGGTTGTTGCAAAACGATTATCACGATTTTTTACCAAGTGGTAAGTTATCATCATTATTATTTTAACAATACCCAAACAATAATGTTTTTTTTTTTTTTTTTTTTTTTAAATTTTATTATTATTATTATTTTCGTTTCAGATATCAAGCAATATTTTAAAAATGATTGAAAAAATATTTATAAAATTTTAAAGTAATTAATAATAATAATAATAATTTTAGTCGTAAAAGAAAAATATTATTTATTGTCATCATCGTTTAACCGATTCGATTAATTAATCAATCAAAACAATCGATCGATCCATCGATCGATCATTCAAACTTTTGAATGATTAATTACGTAATCAAGGACTTTTGTGGATAATTTTGCGGTTGATGAATTTCAATATGGTAGCACAAAACATTTTCAATCATTTATTGACGTTAATAATTGACCACATGGGGGGAGGGGGGGGACACAATCCAATGAATTTTTCTTTTCGACCGATAAAGTCATTCATTCATTCATTCACTCAACCATTCGTTTATTTATTTATTATTATTATTATTAAAAAAAACAAAAATTACGACGATGACCATTTTATTCAAATGAAAAAATAACGAGGGGCGAGGGTGGGGGCGGGGGGTTTAAAAAAGTAAATTTATAATATATTTTTTAATAAATAATAATAATAATAATAATAATAATAATAATAATAGATAATAAAATGCTTTATATATTGTAAATAATAGCCTCGAATAATAAATATTTAAAAAAATATTATAAATAAATAAAATATTATATATATATAAAAAACAAAACGAAAATTATTATTATTATTTTTTTTTATATAATAATATCCTTTTCGGTGTGATGAGTTTTACGACCGTTATTATTATTATTATTATTTAAAAAGAAAATTTTTTTTTTCTCAATTGAAATAACTAAAATATTATAGGATAATTATTATAACGTCAAAATCAGGTCCGAAAATTCGTAAGAAGAAAATTGAATGGGAAAAAGGAGGAATTGTGTGTCCTCCTCACGTTGTCATCTGTCCACGACAGGAAAACTCATAATTACTTCCTATTATGTTTAGTTTTCCTTTTACAAACCCGATTTTCATATTATTATTATTATTATTACTTCTTTTGTTATTTATATATGTACATAACTTTTTTTTTTCTTACGGAAACGTTTAAAAATTATTATTATTTTTTTTTTTAAATTGCGAAGAAAGTTTCTTATTCGTCCGTCGCCATTTTTGTTTTTTTATTTAAATTTATATTAAGAGATGAGATTTAAGGGTGTGTAAGTACAGGGGTGGGAGTGTGAAAATCTCTTTTCATTACGATTTTTTTTTTTTTTTTCCAACATCCTTAACACGCGCCTCAAAAGCACTTGACTCACACGATTGACTTTAAATAATAGCCACGTGCCTATCATCAATTGTAATAACGGTTCTTTTTTTTTTTTTCGAGGGGGGGTGAAAGAAAATTTTTCATATGAAAATCCTTTTCCTATTGATAATATCTTACGGGAGAAAACGGTAATAATTTTTGACGCTCAGGAAAAGATGGTAAAAACGTGGCAGAAGAAGAAGAAGAAGAAGAAAAAAAAGAAGATTTCATAATGTTTATATTTTTTCTTTTAACGTCATTTCCTTTCCTCCCCTTCCCTTTTTTTTATACGCGATTTTGTTATTTATTCATGACGGTCGTGGTGGTGGGGGTGTGTGCGTGTGCGTGTGGTGGTTGTTTTAATATTTGTTTTGATTTATGAATATTTTCTTTCCGTTTTCTACCCTCTCGAAATTATTATTATTATTTTTTTTTTTTTTATTTATTTTTGCGTGCGCATCTTTTGTTTTGTTTTTTGTTTCCTCGCGTATTTATTTATCTCTTCCTTCCCCCTCCCCCACCCAAACATTAACTTCCCTTCTTTGATGATGTTTACGTCATTTCCGATCGAAATCAATTTTTTTTTTTTTTTTTTCGTTATAAGCATAAAATTGATGATATCCGCGTCCAAAACATTTTTTTTTTTTTTTTTTTTTTTTATTACGTATTATTATTATTCGCATGAATAAATTTATTAATATTTATTTATTTATTGAGTTTAAATTTTTTTTTTCTTGTCAGAAACACGCGGTACGTTTTATTATTATTATTATTATTATTAATTCGTTTCATTCATTCATTCATTCGACATTAATTAATTAATATTTAATCGGTCGGTTTTGCCACCATTTTTAAATTCATTTACCGCGTTGTAAAAAAAAATCATAGGAAAAGTTATTATTATTATTTTTATATTTTTAACCGAAAATAGGAGAAAATAAAAAAAAAAAAACTGGGGATTTTTTTGAGGGGACATGTTGGAAAGGAAGTTACAAAGTGAGGAATAACGGAAGGAAACACTCAGGATTGCTATGGTAACACACAGCAGGAGGCGTGGCAATCGATAACAATACTATACACTTTTCCTACAACTTTTTTTTTTTTTCCCGGAAAATTTTTTTTGGTTACTTTTTTTATTTACCTGAATTTATCCGCGAATGTTTTTCCATTTCCTTTTTCCTTTTAATTAAATTATTATTATCAAACCATGACGTAATAAACTGGAAAAAAAAACAAAAAAAATTAATAACAAACCGATTTAAAAAAAAGTTCAAAAAACAAAGAAAAGGAAAAAAATAAAAACCTGATAAATTGTTGCTACCAGAATACAAAAAAAATTTTTTTTTTTTTTTCCACCGACTTCATCAACACGCAATGCATTGATATTAACTAAAAAAAAAATTAAAAATTATAATATATAAATAAATAAATAAAAAAAATCCACCGCGGGATCCTATTTACATTAATATCCAGCTGTGTGTGGCTATATGTTGCCATTTTTACAACCTGTCACGATTTTTTTTAAAAAGATGATTTTTTTTTTTTAATGGTTAATAAATCGGAAAAACAAAATCAAATGAAAATTAAAAAAAGAAAAAAAAAAAAAAAAGATAATTTCAAAATGGAATCTTTTTTGCACGCTATGTACCGAAAAAAAAATATGAAAAATGGGGCGTGCAAAATGTCAGGAACATGTACATGCACCCATCGGCCCTTCTATAATTATTAAGGCGTTCCTGGTTTTTCCTGTTCTTATTTTTCCCATTTTACCCTCATTCGTCATTACCCTAAGAAAAAAAAAAAAATCTGGAATTGACATCTTAAAACTATTCATAAAAAAAAAAAAAAAATTTTTTTTTTCTTCATCTTTTTCTTTATTTTTTTTAAACTGTTTTTTTTTTTTTTTTTAATTAAATTTTATTTATTTATAGTTTAATTAAATTTTATTGTTTAACAAAAAAAAATTTAAACAAAAAATTTATTAAAAAAAAAAAAAAACTTATTTCGGGGCAGTTAAAATTTTTTTAAAAAAAAAAAAAAAAAAGATTAAGAATAACGTATATAAACTATAAAATAAGTTTTAATCATGTTTTAAGTGAGGCCCCCATGTGACCCCCAACCGTTTTTACATATTATAAACTTGATTTGTCTGGCAATGAGTAAATAATAAATTTTCGGACGAGTAAGGTTAGCTCAGTTTCAAATTATAAATAATATCAAACCCGGATATTAAACAACAACAAAAAAATTCATTTTCCTTCCTTCCCTCTTACCCCTACCCCCCATTCTCCCCGAACAACCCTTAACCCTTAATTTTAAAAGGGTTGAATGTCTTGTTATAAAATAAAATAAAATAATATTGTTTTTTTTTTTTTTTTTTTTTTTAAAATAATAATAATAAATTATTGAATTTTTTTTTTTTTGGATGGAATTTTGGGGTTTACGACAAACAAACAAACAAACAAAACAAAAACGTCATCAAATAAGTTTTTTCTTCTTCTTTTAAAAAAAAAAAATCGTAGACATTAAATTTGGCATAAGAATTTAAAAAAAAAAAAAAAATGATATAACAACACAGGGTGTATGTACACAAGTTAAAACAACGGAAACAAACAGTTTGTAAATGGTAGAATGAGAAATGGGGGGTGGGAGGGGGAAAACATATCAAAACGAAAGGAAGAGTGTGTGTGTGTGTGTGTGTGTGCGTGTTCTTGTATGTGTTTGTCTGTTTGATGTGTTGGAAATTCAAACACACAAAGAGATTCAAGGCAGAAGACAATAATGATAAAATAGAACGAACGCTTGACTCCCCACCGTGATTTGAATTGAATCGGGGAGGTGATCCTCAGTCAGTCAGCAGCAAAAACAACCTAAAAAGGATGTTAAACAAACACAACATGTTTGTACTGTTAAATAAATATATGATGATAACGTTGTTATTATTATTAATAAAATTTTTTCTAGAATTTTCTTATTTCTTCTATTTAATTAATAAATATATTTAACACTTTATTAAATAACTCTAAAGAAAATTTATTAAAATAAATCAACCGTTTTTAAACACAACAAATTATGTTTAATTATTATTTTCTTTATTAAGAACGAGCGTTCCTTTTTTTTAGTATGGAAAATAATAATAATAATAAGTAAATAAATAAAAAAAAAAACATGAAAACATAATGTTGTTGTAATGTCAACATCAAGAAAATCCCTTCAAAACATATCTGACATATGTTTTTTTTTAAATAATCAACTTATGTCGTGTCATTAATCGCTTATTGATCGTGGTACTAGTATTATGAGGGTCTCATTTTATAAAAACCGTTAAAGAAAATGATTTGTTTTTGAAATTTCACAAGGGTTTTATCAAAGATTGTACATGTAAGTATTTTTTCTTTTTAATATTATTAATTAATTTAAATAATTTATAATAAATAATTAAAAACTTTCAATTAAGATTTGAGAGAAAATGTTTTAAAATATT